CCAAGTGTTCTGATCGTCCCATTCTGCAACCTTAATCTGACTCGACTGATTCCAGCAACCTAGCAAGACTTTCCCATGACAACTCCACTTTGCTTAACTGCCTCATGTTTGGAGCAAGTCACGATTGGAACACATATGGTGTGAATATGCTGAATCAAGAATCCACTCCTCATCAAATTTAGACTCTATGTCATGTCAGATACTACAATCAACATCACATCACCGCCATCTGAAAAATCCTCAACTACATTGGTCTCGTTCGAAGTCAATGATTGTGTCCTATGATTTGAAGTTAAATCACCTTTAGCCTGCAACTTATCACAATCCTTTCGAACATGTCATTTCCTTCCGAAGTAGAAGCAATACAAATTACTGTAGTTCACCTTCGATTTGCCTCTCCGTCGACCACCATGAGGTATTTGAGCTTCCTCATCCCTAGATGCAGCTCCAACCAGATGCTTCATCTTCTCTTTTGAGTATAAAATATCGTAAGTGTATCATAACTGTACAAGATCGTGTCCCGAAACGATGAATGAGAGGCGAGTAGCTTACACAACAAGATCAAGGCCAGATCATTCTCATCATACTTGACCTCTATTATATCCAAATCTACGACGGTTTCCTTGAACACAACAATGTGATCTTCCAGTGATCCTCCTTCCACCATGCGATGGGAATACAACCTTTGTTTAAGATGCAGTTTGCTCTGAAGACTTTTTGTTATGTACAACTACTCCAATTTTAACAACAAAGCATGTCTTCTCCTTCAAGATGTCCTTCAGAATGTTATTGGAGAGGTGAAAATGAATCAACGGTAGAGCCTTCCTATCCTTCCATTGTTTCTCCTCCGTTGTCCAATCATCTATCATCTTATCAAAACTCAGCAACGCATCGTCTAAATCCATTTGTGCCAAAATAGCTCTTATCTTTACTTGTCACAACGAAAATCTCGTATTACGATCTGCCGTAGAATATCATATTTTAAAGTAGCCATCTCTAAAAAAATCTCAATTAAATCACGAAGAACCTGCAGCCCGCTCTGATACCACTTGTTGAAGGCAAAATAACTCTGAAACCACCTTGTTGAACCGAAAAGCGACGCAAGAATTGAGATTTAATGATTCAATATGAACGGGAGTATTTGAGCCACATTATTTTGATAATAATGCATTCTTGAATAGTGTATTGATGGAAAATGT